TTCCTCGATTCCAGAAAAATCCGGCACGGACAAGGATGAAAGGGAGAGCCAATCCACCTGTCTCAAAGCATGTGGTTCTCCTTCACGAAACCGCACTTTCACCGGTGCAAGGTCTCTCTCTGAAAAGCTTGAAATGTTGGCAATCTCACCACACATCCAGTGACCACGGCTGCTCACGCGAACTACCATGCCCAACTCAAGCTCGACGTATTCTGTCGTGGAGGAATTCGGAGCTCTGGACTCATAGTGCTTGTAGTGGCAGCTCGTTAAAAAGCCGCATTGCAGGCCAGGGACATCTTCATGTAGATAAAGGTTCTTCCCACCAAAATGTTGCCCTTCCTGCCGGCATTTCCCAGCGAGCCACATACAGCAAACAAAGGTATAGTCGGGACGGACCTCTGAAGCATCTGGAGACCAGGTGGTCTCGGCTTGTTCGGCGTCATTGCTGAATGCACTCGTGTCCCAACAGGGCGAAAATGATGCACTAGCGCTCTGTGATGGTTCAGGTCTCTTAGAGAGCTGAGCTTTGATGCCTCCGGCTGGCAGTTTAGGTTGCCGAAATCTCAAGCACTTGCTGAGGAAGCGATCTGCCCCAACCCACTCATCATAGTTCGAGCTGTACCCGTCGTAGTGAACGTGAACGGGCGCGTGCGCTTTGTCTTTGTCCTGCGAGACTTTCACAACTGTACAATTGAAATGCCTCTTGCTGGAGGTGTCTATAACACTTCCCTGCATGCCTTCCTCGATTCCAGAAAAATCCGGCACGGACAAGGATGAAAGGGAGAACCAATCCACCTGTCTCCAGTCTTCCGGATCTCCTGCACCATAGCACATTCTGACAGATTGCATATCTGATGCTGCAGAGACTTCCAGAACCTCACCACACATCCAGCACCCGCCGCTGTTCACACAAAGGGTCATACCCAGTTGAAGCTCCACGTTGTCCATGAGTGAAGAACAAGGAGCAGCAGTTCTGCACTCATAGTGCTTGTAGCGGCAGCTTGTTCCAAAGCCACATTGCAAGCCAGGGACATCTTCATGCAAGTAGATAGTCTTGTCGGAAGAATGCCAGCTTTCGTGAGGGCATCTTCCCACAAGCCACATGCAACATATCCGTTTGGATTGTCCCCAGCGAGTTGGTATGTCCTGAAGACATGCGCCTTCCGCACCGTCCAGCTCTTCTGCCTTCGGATGCTCGCCATCTCTCGTGTCCAAGGGCGCGACGTGAGAGGAGCTCTGGTGTCCGGCATCTGTCCGAAGCGAAGTAGCCGCGGGATCAGAGTCACACCACTCCTCAGCCACTCGAAAAAGAGGCTTTCCCAGGTGATAGGCTTCGGCTTTATGCCCATGTAACATCAACCCCAGGCCATCCACAGCAGTGTCGATGTTGTCTCTCAAGATGCCTGCCACCTGGTTCAGCGAAACAAACAAGCCAAACAATTTAAAAGGCAAGAGGGGCAGGCTTCATACCCCTACTTGCTGGGGAGTAAGCCATGCAAAAAAGTGATGAACTAAAGCCACCTCAGGAGCCATGGCATCGTACAACAGGCATGGTGCCCAAACCGTTTGATGTCGCCAAATGCCCTGTAGCGCGCTCAACGCCAGCCCCCGGCGGTGGCCCCGCACGATCCAGAGCACCGGGGCGTCCGGCGGGTTCCTCGACGCGCGAGGGACCCGGGCGTCCACGGCCACGATCAGCGGTTCCACGTCCTCGGGAGGTTGACGACCACTGAGCATGTCATGCAGCAGCTCGTATACCGAAGCATCCTGCGGTCGGCCGGTCTAGCGGTGGATGGGGCGTTCAACAAGGGTGAACGGTGGGTGTGCTTCTGTCCGAATCCACCCAGGGCTCAGACGTCTCTTCACACAGAAGTCAACGTCAAAGCTGATCATATCCTGAAAACCATCCTGCACTCCTGAATGTTACTAGAATCTCTAAACTTGTGAATGCAGAAGACCTGTCAAGAGTCTTGCCCGAAGAAAGGCACTTCTGGGTCTAAAGATGGATGAACATTTCTGGTGGCTGCAGTTCTCGTAGACCCTCCGTCCTTGTGCCTTCCAGAGGTAAAGGTCATATGGCAGTTGACCTTGGCTCGATCGTTCCCTCACAAGATAAGAGAGTACCCTTCACTCCTGCTAACTTCTTGAGCAATTCAGTGTGTTTTAAACATAAGGGAATCTCCCAACCAACAGTTGCGTGTGCATGTACACCTATTCACAGCGTTGGTTCTTTCGAAGAAGAGACATATCCTGGCATAGACAAGATTCCCTTGGATTGAGCGCAAGCACCAAATGGGCACGTGCGCCCTCCACCCACTGTCACATCTTAGCTGCAATTGTGGGAGCCTCTTCCTGGGACAATTCGACTGCGGCACGGCCACCTCTGCTACCAAACGCTACCACTCTCAGCCAGTGCGACGCTGCGCAGAAAACCTATCAAAGGAGAAAAGAATCCCTATCTATTTTGTGGACTTGTCTCCATAGAAGTCAACTTGTCTCCACTCGCTATGCAGTGCATCATGCTCATTCGTTCTGTCTTGGTTCGCTTGTAAAAACAATGTGAGCACTACTCGCCTCCAATGTACGCTTTTCCACGTAAGTGTGCGAAGCTCTAAAACACCACTCCAAGCAACTGAAACTTCACCACATCTGCCATGCACGGAAAACTTCCAGCTTCATGCTCACCTGCCTCTTCCTGCCGGCGCTCCTGCACCGAAGGCTGAGCCGAGCTTACACGAAGAGGTCGGAGAGCAGCAAAAGCCGCGTCTTCTTTCAGCTTGGCATGCTGCTGAAGGATCACACGAACATGGACTTTCTTCACCGACATGGCTTTCAAGTCTTCCTCCAGATCTTCCCTCTCCTCGTTTCAAAACTGACAAGCCAATGAAATGTGAACTGGATGCAAGTACTAGGGACTATGGGTCATAGATAAGATGAACAGGTTGAATGCATCTTGCAGCAAGTGTCTGTGTCCACCAAGAACTTCGGGTTGTACCCAAGCTCGTTGAACCGGTCACCGTACACCTCCAAATCGGCATGAATCTCACGCAGCCATTGTCTCATGGACTGCGAAATCGCCATGGAGGTTGACATGGCGATTTCGTCGGCTGGAGCCTGGTGGGTATGTGGCCTGGCGGTCGACATGTTCGACTTGGTATTTGGCTGATCCTCAAAAGTGACCTCCAAATTCTAGAACTAGAAATGATACCTATCTATTTGCAGGGCCTTCTATTTTCCGGGCTCGCTGCTTTCCATCTACTGTATTTGCTTGCCTGCCTGTTGTTTAGTTTGGGGTTGGGCTGCTTTGTTTCAATCTACAGCCAAAGAAACATCAACCTGGCAAGAACACCATAGAATGTCAAGTTTCGTTGTGATTCCAACCGAGCTTCTCCCTCCTTTTGACGGCAGTGGGCAATGAGCTTGGAAAATCGATTGCCCCTGAAATCCAGAGCGGCTGCGGACGCGATGTCCTCACCGACACGGATGTGTCGACCCACTGATGGACATCGGCTGGTGTGGACCTTCGTGCCGATCCGACCCCAGACACATGCCGAAGACATGGTCGCGCAATCGCCGCTTCTCCCCAGTGCAGACGGATGCAGTGCGCTAGCACCTGCTGAGCAGCGTTTTCCCTTCGCAGAATGAAATCTTCAGCTCTTGGACCTGGGTCAGCAGGGCCCGATGCTAGCAGGCTGCTTCGTGGAAAAATCAAAAAAACAAACAGCTGGCTCCCTCCCTGAACTTCTGGAGGGTTTGATAGATGACTTTATCTTATTTATATATATACACATAAGTTCAACCTTTTGGATTGAAAGACTGTGTATACAAAGATTAGTATCCTGAAGCCTTTTCGTGTATTTGAGCAGCCATACTTCAAGGCCAATTCATTGTTTTGCGTGGCCTGGGGTGAACACAACAAGACAGAAAAAACAATACACACCATTCACTAGTCCAAGGTGTTCTGAAAATGGACTACTGTAGTCCAGGACCCTGATATTCTGATATGATGCTTTAGAATCATTTACAGTAGATGGTTCTTGGGTGAATTCCTCGCGTCGCCCAGTCGAGTTCTCCCACCAGTGGAGTTCTCATTCTCTAATGTTTCCATGGGCTGTGGGCTTTCGCCATCCAAACAGAAATAAGAACTCCTCATGATCCATAGACTGTAGACCCCAAGAAGCAAGACTGCCTAATGTCATCAACAATCGCCTTCCATGTATAAACTTATGCTGAGTGGTGGATCGAACAATCCCAACGAGCAACTTCTCCCGCCAGGGCCCCGACCAACCCAGGAGAGGAAGCATGGCTGGCATGCGCTGCATCGCAGGATCTCATGCAAACACCTGGCAGCCAAAGATGAACTCTGGAGAGCCCAAGCCCGAGCCCAAGCGTGGCTGAGGTTGTCATGTTTGTTGGACCAGCACCCTACAGACGTTCATGAATAGAGACGACTGGTTCACCAGCACCTGTTGCACCGTTCCAAAGGCCAAGCTTTCATCGCAACCGTCCCGAGCACCGGTCCTGGTCGGGCCCTGAGCAAAGGTCAACAAGAACGTCCACACACGTGGCTCACTGCGAATCCAACGGTACCACCCTGAATCCCCATGATTCCATACCCGATGTTCTCGCGATTCCGAACACCCGCGAACACCCGCGAACACCCTCCGTCCCCGCGGTCTCCAAACCCCGCGGTCCGCCGGTCCGCGCAATCTGCGGCCATCGGGCTGGGTCCCTTTTT